AACCAATTCATTATTTTTGTACGTGTTTTTACAACCAATTACTACGCACCTCATTTTAATTACATTTGAACAAAAAATTTATTAAAAATCGCTTAAAAATTACTAAAATGAACCAGCACCAAAATACACATAAAGAAAAGGGATGTAAAAAATTAAACAGAAATAGCAAACTTCAAAATTACGAACTTCACACACTTTTTTCTCAAATGCTGTTGCAAAAGGCTGCTTCTCAACCGGTCACATCTGTTCTAATTGGTTCATGCCAAATTACAGTACAATTAACTTTATTGTACAACAAACACTTTATAATACTCGTCAAAGCAATTACAACGCGTTAAAAAACTTGCTAACACAATTGATCTCTGTTTCACAATTGACTTTTTGTACGCTATAGCAGCGTTCGAAAAGAGCAAAATAAGAACAAAACTCTCGAAAACGTTCTCAAGAAGAACATAATGATAAGGAAACTTTCGGTAACGTTTCCAATGAGAAAGATATGACAACGAAAGTATCGGTAACGATTTAACGGAGAATAAAATAAGAACAAAAGTCTGGGAATAGATCTGCTAGAAATCAGAACGAGAACAAATGCGTTGAGAACTTAATGTTGGGAATGAGAGCAGCGTCTACGTATTGGGAGGAAAACCCGTTTCTGTGAGAACTGAGATTGTTAACTCTAAGCCAGAGGAAAGCTGGATCATTGCACTTTCCAGATGGTTTATCATTAGGGTGAACTGTCCATTTATAGAACAATTTTTAATTTTCTTTGGAAGCAAAGTTCGTGTCTTAAGTCTTTCGTTTTCTTTATTTGCATTATTGTCTCTAAGTTCTTTTTTTTTTTGATTAATTTTAATATTCAAACATTTCAAACTAATGCAACGCTATGAGTTCAGAGAAGATTTTCCCCCGTTTCGTTCTGTTAGGAAGTTTTTAAGACTTTAGTCCCCAAATTGTTCTTTGAGAGAAAGTTCCTTCAAAGTTTTGTAAAAATTTTGTTCCGTTTGGCATCGTTCCACAGAGTTTGGTTCTCATATAATTCCCGTTTTGAGAAAACACTCCTTGAGGTACTTGAGTGCCTGTGCGGTAGAAGAGGCCTTGATGACTGTAGTGAATTCCTATGGAAACATTTAACAAACCAGCGCACCACTTAAAAATATTGCGTGTTGAGAGCTAGTTTCAGATTTTCTGCATCAACGATAGGCACAGCGGTGAATTTTGTTACTGAGGAGCGGGAATAGGGCTGTTGTGAATACTACATACTTACCATTAGTTCTTTCTACCTTTTAAATAAAAGTTAGACCAGACATTTTTCAAAGCAATTAATGTTTAATTTCTCAAAATTTACTATCAATTACAAAGTTCTTCATCCTTATAACATACCTTACTAAGTATTCGTTTTACACTTTATATTGCATCTCTGATTAAATTTACGGTTGCATTTATGCTTATATTTTTATTGAATAGTTTATGCTTATTTCCATACAAACCTATCATACTGTTTATGCATATTTATGTAATTGTTGAAGTTGGTTGAGAATAAGTGATTTTTTTTTAAATCTTTTTGCGTATTTTTTGTTTTTTTACGAACTAATGCGTGCTTTTTTAAGTGTGTATGTTGTAGTGTTTTTTGAATACTTTAATTGCTTTTTGGGGCAAGAAATCACTCCAATAGAAAGTTTAAAGGGTTCGGAAGGGAAAACAAAACACTTTCATTTTTTTTTTAAAAGTAACTGCTAGATGAGTATCTTCGTATTTCGACTTATAAGTACTTAGTAAAATTAGGAGAGATTACATATCGCTACCTAAAGGTGAAAAGGTGCCCAGTTCACTTTTTTTTTCCAAATCTTAGTCTTTGATGCAGAGCGACGGAAAAGGCGAAACTACAGCGATTTTTCGTCTGTCTCGAGAAATTTCAAAAAAAAAAATGAGCTTTGCATCTTTTCACGTTTAGGCAACGATATGTATTTGATCTTGAAGTTTTTTGTTTTTCGTTCATATTTTAATTAATTCATTTGGCTTGATTACATTAAAGTTACTTTGAATAGTGGTGGCTGAAAGCTTTCAATAGCTAAATATGTGTGTTTGAGATTTATGTACTTTTATATTTAGTTTTAAAACCAAAGTGGCTTATTAGAAATAGTTTGCTTAGTGCAGCTTGCAATATACATATATATTTGATTTGATGTGGCAAAGTTTTTTGATAGCCGAAAGCCTTAATTTGAGCAAAATATTTAATAGGGGTATTCCCTTAAACGGCATAAAACCGCGAAAACCTTAAAAGTCTTACAACCGTTGGCGAAAATTTTCCACGAAATAAATATTTGAGTTCGGAGTTTTCCAGTCTTACGTCTTTAAGAGAATTCCCCAATCGTTTTGAAGAAAAAAAAAAACGGCAATGCGATTTCGTTGCTATGTGTAATATAGTTTTTAATCATTTTTTGTTTAGCATATCAAAAGAAATAGATTTTCATTGTTTAGCATATAAATAATTATAAGCAAATGAAAAAAATTAATTCGATCGTAGCTTTTTAGTACACATTGTCGCATTATATATACTATATACATAAATGACATCGCATATCTTATCATGATAAAAGTGTCATTGAGATAACGTACTAGTTTGTTTCACTAGATTTTTTATCGCTTTTTAATTTTACACTTACGCTTTACAATACACAGTATGTAGCTGTACAATGTAAACATTTTTTTTAATTTTTTTTTGAAATTATAATTTTCATTATGACAGTACTATTTAACTTATTAGATAGGTATGCTCGGAGTCTTGCAAAGGCCTTGCAAAGCTGTCCCATAGAGAAACCGGTTTTTGCGTGCAATGCGTGCACCGTGCAAGGGCATTGCAAGACTTCGAGAATACCCCTATTGGTTTTATGTGTTGAATAATATGTGTGTATATAGTATTGCTATTGATTTATGTGTGTGTGAAGTGAAGCTTATATAAATCAATATAATTTTGTATTTCAATATAGAGCCTAACCGCTAAAAAAAAATCTCTTTTTTTATGCAAAATGGTTATAGAGACATTTTTTTGTGGATACAAATTTTATATGTATGCGGTTATACTGATTGGTTTGGATTATATCCTCATTTTCACATTCATACTTAACGTATATCCTGACAAGCCAGCTTCGGTCAATGCAGATTTTTTGCATGTTAATTTATTCAATCTTGAGTACAGGTGCTATTAATTAAAAATTGTAAAACATTTTTCAGAACTCTATCCGAAGATTACTAAACATGTCAGATTTTCCAAAAATTCTGTGAGCCGAAGAGTTATTGATCTCAAAAATGGAAAGTTAGAATACTCGAAAATATTTTTATAAAAAATTTAGCAAACTGCATACATACATACATTAAAGAAAATCGTTGATGAGACATTTTTTTTCTTCATTTATTAAGCAAATATTTTATCTTTCAAACTACGAAACAATGCTTTTAGAAACACCCTTTATAGCACTCATTTCAAACCCACGATGTAGAGAACAAAGGCGGCGCCGTCAGTGGTACCGCTACTCAAGTAAAATTAAACGCCACCTCAGAAACACGGTTGCCAGACTTGGTACTTTGGTACAGGGTTCCATAAAATGGTACCATTTTAATCTAATTAATAATTTGTAGTTTTATTTTATTTCATGACTACTTTAAACTAAATCTTTAAAAGGTACAATATGTATATAATTAAAAAATTTTCATTTTGTGAGACGAAGTTTGATTGATTGCGTTTTCCAACGAATCAAAAAATTTTAATTGGATCTCTTAATTAGTAAAGTTCCAACATCTTTAGTAAAAATTAATTTCATAAATATGTAATGTAATTATTTATTTCGCGTTGTAACGGTGGTGTTGCAAATTTTTGTCCTTGGATTTTAGTTCCATTCTCAATATTAATGGCAAATTTCGAAATGATAATATTTCTGTTTTTTTCTGTATCACCAACCGATATCAACTTGAAGTTGTTTTGTTATTTTTATACCTATATGTACATATATTTATTTTTATAAAAAATAAACTGAAAATTTATTGTTAGTTTCAAGCAAATAAAATGATATGTACGCAAAAATTGTACAGCTTTTGTTTATTTTTACTTGAGAAACTTTTGAGTAAAATAGTAAAAATGTTACATTTTAATCGAAATCGGCTTTGTTTATTTTTACTTGAGAAACGTCATCGCCGCCAGCACGGCGCAATCTAATTTCAAACCTCTGTTTTAATTTTAAACATCCTCTCCGGAAAACTCACATATGGCAACACTCCGGAAATGCATCGTTCCGCCCGCCATCAAATGTCAGTTCTTGCGGAAATAAGTTCGTATCAGCTCCATCGAAAAGAACGTTAGCATTAACATCTTAAATTTAAATGCATAAATAAAGCATCTAATTCGAGTCTATAAAAATTTGGTAAAATGTCGAAAGGAAACTTAGAACAAAAAAATAAATTAATTTCACAAAACTCTGAATAGCGCTTTAGATGCTTGGTAGCACCATAAATTATTTCAGACTTCGAACCTATGTTTGTATTTAAAAAAAAAACAGCATCAATTTATATAAAAGTTATTTACTTCACACGCGTACATAATCATTTTTATATGTACTTGTATACCCTTTATACATACGTACATGCATCGTGTTATACACACATACATAAATACTTCATTTGGCAGTGAACCTGAGCTTTCTCTTTTAATTCGGTGATCAACTCTAATTTACAAAATCGCGTTCACCCATACAGACATTCAAATGATTTACAATGACTAATTATTTTGTAATTCAAATCAATATACTACATTATAATAGATTACACAAACTTGCTTAGCAATAACATAAAAAAGCGTTTTCCAAAGTAATTGTCTGATAATTCTACGAAATGATTTCATCAAAGCTGGACAATTTGTCTCCAAAGATTATGATTTATTTTTTTTTTTTGATTAAAAGCACACTTTTGGAAAATTGCTAGTATGCTCATCGGGAAAATAACGCTATTTTTTACTGGGCTTTAATGCCTCTTTCTTTGTCATTAAAGTGTTAGGGTTTGACTTAAAAATTTTCACGCTTAAAAAAGAAACCAAAAATGTAAGTTACTTTGTTATTTCTCAAAGCTGAGTGCTTGTAATCTAGTCTGTTATTTTAATCTTGCAAATAAATTGCGTACATACAAGTGTATTTTAAGCATTAAATGTAAATATGTATGAAGTTTGTGAGATGACTTTTTTGATGAATACAATTAAGATTTTTTTTTTTTNTTTTACTTCAGAAGCCTATTTCTACCACCATACTGTATAAATACAGTGATATACAATAATCAACGTCAGCTTTGCCTCACATACAAATTAAAGTTATTTATTTGATTCTTTATTTTTTTCGCGAATTTCTTTTGGTTTGAGATTTCTTCTTGTTCTGTGTTGTCATGCTTTTACTTTGCCTTAATTTTAATGCGACTATAATTTCTGTAATCTAGTATTAGACTTAGCTTGTATGAATATTTTTTGGTTATACTACACTTTTGTTTTTTTATTTTTACTTTGTTTCGTGTTTACTAATTAACCGATTAAAATCTAATGTGTTATTTATATTATGCAACTTGATACAAAAGTTTTTTTATTTAAATTATCGTTTGTGCTTAGTAATAAATAAGGTTAAATACAATTAAAGTAAATTAACTAAATTGATTTTCTGATAAAGAAATTAAAATTAAATATGTAAGATCAATAAATTTAAAAAATATGATATACTTGTAGAGAGCTAAACGCTAATATCAACTGAATTATGTTTTCGTGTTTTTGCGTGGAATTACACATAAAAAACTAAAGTAACAAACGCGCCAGCGCAGCTAATTTACAGCGTCTTTGCACGATCAAGTAAATCACTTATGAATTTCTGGAAAAGAATAAAACAAACGTCAATACAATATTAAAGCTTCAAATATTTGTTTACAATAAATAGCTTACCGATATGTCCGACTGTGGGCGTTTGCAGACCGAAAGGAGCCGCTAAAAGAGAAAAAAATATTTAAAAATTAAGGGACTTGCAGGGTGTTGTAATGAGTCGTATTGTCATAATATCGTAAATTTTGTAACGAACAAATTTATGGCAATACAATAATATTTTTAAAAATATTGAAAGTGGTTACAGAACTACAAAAAATTAACCATAAATGAGTGAACTAAGTGAATCCAATAAACTAAAACCAAATTAAATAAGTGAAAAAATATATTTTTAATTGCATATTTTACTTATTTATGGCGCATATTTTTGAATTTTTAGTGCATGAGATTCCGAGCCGTAATCATTACAAATGAATTTTAATATGCATTTTAAGTAGCAATATGATTTTTATACATTAATAAGTAGCTTTACAGGGCAATTCTGGCAAATGTCTTTCAACTCGTCACAGTTTTTCGAAAGATAAAAGATAAATTAAATTAGAAAAAGAAAAGAATTAAATAAAAAAAGAAAATAACACTTAAAAATTAAATTAAATAAAAAAATTATAATTTTTAGAACTAATTCTAAAAAAACAAAAATTGAAAAAGACAAAAATAAGATTAAATAAAGAAATATAATAAGATCCTAAAAATTAAATGAAATAAAAGAAAATATATTTTTCTTTTTAAAACAATAAAATCTAAATGGCAAAAAATAAAAAATATTTAATTAAAAAATAAAAAAAAAACGAAACTCGTTTCTAAAAATTTTATCACATTAAAGAAAAAATAATAATTTTCTTTTCAAAGCAAAAATGTCTTAAAAAAATAAATAAAATATTTGTATTTGTCAATGTTATTGTGGCTTATTAACATTTTATTTATTTATTCATTTTTTTTTTTAATATTTTTATTGAGCTTTGTACCACGATTGTTTAT